TGGTTCCTGCATGAGTGGAGCCGCCTTCTGCAGCTGAAAAACGACAAATCGAAAACGGAAAATCTCGAGTGTTATGTTCAATTCTTGTATTTTCTTGAATAAATTGAATTGGAAGATGTTTTTCACGAAAACGACAAATGAAATCAGATTTTGGGTGTCGAGTCTCTTCGTCTTGGTGACCGTTATACTCATGACGGATTGAGAAGAAGCTGAGTTGTACTTTTCTTTTTCACTCCTTGGAGGGGCTTTCTTTTTCAGGTAGTCCAGGTTTAAATAGCTAGACAAAGGTATCAAAGTTAAAACTGAGAAAATGCGGCAAAACTTTCGTCCAAACGTCTAAAGAACATTTTTTGCAGCATTTTTTGACAAGTACTAATTTTCATTTCGTAAATAAGTTTTTCACATTTTCAGTAGAATTATCGAATAGATCTCTTTTGTGGAACACTGCGTGAGATAGATCACACTGAGGCTTAATTTGAATAACTTTACAAAAAGACAACGAGCTTTTTGCTTTGTTAAGGTGTAGACTTTGGTGTTTTGTTAAATGATCGAATAATTTTGTAAATTACCGGTCAGAAAAAACATTCCATTGAACTGAAGTACTGACTGGAGTGTCAGAAGCTTTGTAGCAAGGCTTCTGACAAGTAACATAAATAACTGGGCCTAAAAATGATAACAAGTAAAGTTTCTCAGAGTTTGAGCATTGTAAAATCAGAGATGCATTGCCATAGCCAGCTTAGTTCGTTCAGTCTTGTTTTTGATTGTGCTATGAAAAATGAGATGGGTTCGAGATAGGCTCGAGGATTGTAATATAGTCGACTCCACCGCATTTTCATTTCCTTATTGGCATCAAAACCTGAGTGAATCTGAAGCAAAACTTATGAAAGGACTTGACATGATTTCAAAACCGGTGCCTACCAAAAAGGTTCAAAACCCGTGCCTACCAAAGAGTCTAATGAAAGACCACCCAAAAACTTTATGATAGATAAGGATCAAACTGAGGCTTAATTAGAATAAATTTACCAAAAGACAAGAGCTTAGAACGTCGCCACTTGTTGTTTCGCAAAAAGATATTTGAATGGTGGCTCCTGCCTGAGCGGAGCCGCCTTCTGCAGCTGATATTTCTCGAGTGATATGTTCAATTCTTGTGTTTTCTTGAATAAATTGAATTGGAAGATATTTTTTATAAATCAGATTTTGGGTGTCGAGTGAGAGCTCTTCGTCTGGGTGACCGTTATACTCATGACGGATTGAGAAGAAGCTGAGTTGTACTTTTCTTTTTCACTCGATGAAAACACCTTCTTTTTCAGGTAGACCATGTTTAAATAACTAAGCAAGGTATGAAAGTTAAAACCGAGAAAATGTAGCAAAACCTCAGTCCAAGCGTGTAAATACAAACTTTTTAATTTTTTCGAATTTTTCAACTCTCGAATAGCAAAATGCTCAACTTTTTAACGAATTCCAAAGGTTTTAAATAATAGTTATAGCCTAAAAAAAGCGCTACGGGACAGAGACCTTGGCCACGACACAGACCAACGAAAGAGCTCTGGGAACGACGCATCGAGCCCTTGAAAGGAACCTCCTCGGGCACAATAGGAAGACACAGCTAGACCAAGACCTAAGAGGTACGGATATGCGCCAGCTCTCGGGACTCAGAGATCCAGTGGAAGTAATCGAGAGAAGAAGACTCAGATGGGCCGGTCACGTGACCAGAAGAACAGACTACGGATGGACCATACGGATCACAGAGTGGCTGCCACGAGACCAGAAGAGGCCCATCGAAAGACCAGCAACGAGGTGGAGCACAAGAGTGGCAGCAACGGTCAGAGAAAGGATGACTAGAGTGCAACCACCACCAGCACAAGCAAGTCGAAGACTCCGGACCAGGAACAACCAAGATAGGATGACAATAGCAAGAGATAGAGGAATGTGGAAGCAGGTTGTGATTTGCGCAAATAGGAACACCTAAGTGCGAAGACAGATCGAAAAATGATTTTACACAAAACCTAAAACTTTCATTGTCAGTGAAACGTCTTGAGTTCAAATATATAAGCGTAACTTTGCGAATCGCTTTACAAAGGTGATACTGAATACGAATTAGTCAAGAAATCGATCAAATGTCGGACTTATTCGGGCAATCGAATGAAATGCCTAGATAAAACTACAATGCTTCGCTTTTCCTTTCTCTTCTTCATCTTATTCGCTGAACTCTTTGCTCTGCCAATCCAGTTGATACCTGAATATGTAAGTTTCCAATAATCAAAGCATTTCAATTCTAGAAAAATTCTCAAATCAATGCAAATTCCAATTCAACCGATCTATTTTGATCAGCAAGATGAGCTTTTTCAAAAAGACATTTGTGTTTTTCCCGATCCATGGGGCTTATTGTTGTAGTGCATCGAATTGCTTGTGCTTGTGCGATTAGGGATAATAAATGCCAAATAAATCTATCTAAATCTAATTCTATAAATGTAAAATAAGTCATTTTATTAATAAGATACTCTCAAAACGATCCAAACTCGATTCTACTCAGTTTGGTTCTTTGATATTTGACTTAAGAGCTTGAAGCGTTCATTTCTCAAGTAGCAGATTAAATTACGATCGAAAGCTGGAAAATTATTGTTACTAGAGTAAAATATTTTATGTCTATAATGCTAATTTTTCTGTTGATTCATTTGTTTTCTAAATCTATCAATGCACAGAAAAACTATACGGAAAATGGGTTTCCAGGTAGACATAAAGAAGATAAATCCGATAATCAAATAACAAATCTTGTTCATGACAAGATAAATCCAGACCTGGCCACTGATTCATTCCTAGATTTGATTCTTGGCTGATCTTGACTGTTGTGGACTAGTTGTTAGCCGAAATTCAAGCCAGAGTCCAGATTCTGGTCAATTTCCAGTACCCAAGTCTAGTAGACTCAAATAAGCTATTCATGACAAGAAAATACAACAAATACTAACCTAAATCCAAAAAAATAAACCGAATTTGACGATACGAACTAAAAAATGGATTCAGCATGGCTTTGCTTTGAATCTAACCTATTCCTTTTGTTTGTAACATTCTCAATCTTGTTTTCAGAAGAATACTCGACTTATATCAACGAAGCAAACGAACTCTATCAAGAGCTTTTCACAGCAAGAAAATACAACAAATATTTGGCTCCAGTTTATGGAAAAATGCCTGCAAACTATACAAGTGAACTATTCATTTTTCTCGATATTTCTCAATATTTCAAATTTCAGCCAGTTCGGTTAAAAGAATAACCGTCGAATTTCTACTTTTTTACATAAAGCTTTTCGCGTTGGTGATTAGGATTGTTTGATTATTGAAAAATTGTTTTTAGGATGCTGAGAGTCAAATTATGAGTGCTTGTCTGGAAATCAAAATGGTTTTAGTGCTGTTTTTTCTATTAGAAAACTTTTAGAGTTGGCAAGACTTGCGATTATCCTGGAACCCAGAGAAATTCGATGGTATTGACTCGATTTTCACCACATCTGAGGTGATTTGGATACCGGATAATCAAATTGGAAATGTGTAAGTGATACAAAATGCTAGGGATGCTGTAGTCTGCTAAAAGTCGGCCAAACAAGTTACCAAGGCTACCGTATTTACTCAAATAGAAGACCGGTCTTCTATTTTTTTTCAATCACGCCCTAGACCCCGTCTTCTATTCGAGGCCGGTCTTTTATTATTTGCATTCACAAAAATTTTCGGGAAAGTAACCAGCGTTTAAAAAAAACTTTTTTATAGAAATTTATTGTAACATTTAACAACAAAATTTATCAACAACAACCTTTAATAACGACATTAACAACAATTAATAAGAACATAAAAAAGCAGTAATAACAACATTATTCTTCATTCTCACTTGATTCAATGCCATCCTCCATTAAATCCAGATTTTGCAAAATTCCATCAAGTCCCTCTGCGCTCGAAATTGAATTGTTTTCACTCTCATATCCATTGTTTCTATCCTTGTCGGAGACGATATCTTGACAAAGTTTTGCTAATCTTCCCTCCAATCTTGCAATATCCAGCTTGAATCGAGCACTCTCAACAGCTTCCCCTTTGCGGAAACAAACAATCTGATCATCCTCGCTGTTGGACTCCTCGCAAGCCATTCATTGCTTGCAGAGAAAGACTTTGTGAAATCTAGGTTCGATTCGCGAAAAAACTCCTTGGCTTCGTCCTGAACCATACGTCAAGAAACTTTTAGCTTTTCCTCTCGTTTTTCTTTGATCCATCGATAAGTGGCCTCCTCGACTGCGCGAAATTTAAGCATTCGCCCTCCTCCTTTTAACCGTTTTGCTCCTTTCGATTCCTTTTGCAGCGACTCCTCTGTGCCGTCCAGTCTCGAATCATCTTTGGAGTCACATTAAACTGTCGAGCAGCCGCCTCTTTCGGGGTTTTCTTTGAAAAACGAATGGCCTCGAGTTTAAAGGCGGCACTGTAGGCTTTCCGTTTCGTAGCACCTCCCATCAACTAAGAAAAATGCTACTTATCCGTTATACCTCCGCCAACTCCACATTTCCGTTATACCCCGCCAGTTTCTAGATAAAAAATGATCAGATAATCAAATAATTAAAAATAATCAGAGTCAAAATGGCGGGGTATAACGGAAATGTGGAGATGGCGGAGGTATAATGGAAAAGCACCAAAAAAAATTATTGATACAAGATGTAGAAAAATACCAAAAAAATAGTGCTATTGAATGAAAATATAATATTTTTACTCTATTGGGTAAATTCCCTTATTCTTTTCCCGTATTTGAGTACGTCCACTTTCGCGCAGAATAGAAAACAGGGTACCTCGAATATAAGACCGGTCTTATATTCGAGACGGTCTTCTATTTTTGATCATCCCCTAGACCCCGTCTTCTATTCGAGTCAATACGGTATTTTACAATAGCCAAAAAAAGACAGAACAAACTGTTTTCAGCAAATTGATGGACTCCCTGCTTCCAAGTAGACTGACTTCTGTGCAAATTCTCAGCAATGGCACCATTCGAATACCGCTTACCTATTATGTTGAAGTGGCATGTTCTGTTCATGCAAGTATTTTAGCACTTTAGTTCTGTGCAGTGTACACATACTTTAGCTCATAACATCTTTATTCATTCAGGTAGGCACTTTTCCATTCGACAAGCAAAGCTGCCGTCTTCTCATTCTGTCACTGGCTTTTGAAAGGTAAGAAAAAAAGCGATGAAGTGTTACAGTAACCTAAATTGACCGAATAGTTGCAATTAGTTGATAGCAACTAAAGGTTTTGAGGCTATAATTTTGAGCAACTAAAGGTATGTAAGCTTTAAGCAACTAGTACTTGTTTTTAGCAGATTCATGACGATGAATGGAAGCACTTATCAACTTGGCCCTTCTCAGATGCATGTAAGATCTTAACTTTCAACTTAACTATCAAGACATTGCTCTAACTTTTTGCAATAGTCTGAAGTTAAACACAAAAGTCTATTGATTCACTAATCCTAAAAGCAAAATCAGCGTTTGTTTAGGGAAATGGTGAATGGGATGTGACTGGGATAGAAACGGCGAGCTCAGTTAGTCGAGATGTGGAGATTGTGAGCTTACAATCAGATTCCAGTAAAAACTAGTTTTAGTTCGGTTTTTACATTTATGTTAAACGGGTGCCCAACTATTATGTCTATGTGATCGCTCTTCCGTGTTTCATTTTGACCATGCTTTCAATCATTGGAATGTTCTGGACACCGAATCACAAAGAGGAGCAATTGGTTAAGGTACAGCTACAGCATCGTGAATGAATGGCAATTAGTATTCAAGCAAATAATAAACCGGTTATCCTTTCGATAAAACGTGTTACTTTCCAGTTGAGTATCGGTTTAACGAGTCTCGTCTCGATGACTCTTCTCTTGGATATGCTCTCAACAGCAATCCCGAAAACGGCCGCTTTTCCACTATTGGGTAAACACAGCGAGAACACAGAAATTGCTTATCAAAAAGTTATACCCATAAGTATTTTAATAGCCTTTTCATTTAGTCCATAAGGAACTTGCTTAGGAAAAACTGGAAAATCTATCTATTCATTGAGGTCAATAGTAGACAGAATTTCAAGAGTTTTGCCTTCTGGCCTAGCCCGGACCTTGGTTTTCCCTGACAGGCTAGGCCAACCCGACAGGGAAAACCGTTCTTAAGCCTGATAATAGACTAGATTGAATTAACAAGGGAAAGGCAACGATAGGATGTGGACAAATGAGATAAGCCATAGACTAATCGATGCAGAGCTTCTGTTTCCGAATCCACTGTTCTCTGTGTACACACATACAATCGCGCACTGTTCGAACGACCAACGACGAACGTCGTGAAGAAATTCGACTGATAGGAAGCATCGAAAGAATGCGACGAGCTTTTAAGTTTTAGTTTCAATAGTTTTAAGGCCAGATAAAATTCAGATGTTTAAATATCAAAACGTAAAACAAAATTTTTGAAAAGGAATCGAACAAAAAGAAATCAAACTCAAGCGAAAAATCTAAGCCTCGCTTCGTACGCAATCATTTTATTCACTATACAGCAGATCCATGGATGACATCACTTGCTTTAACTTAAAAAGACGTATAACCTTTTATAGAAAGCCATTTTGCAAAAAAGGAAAGTAGTTTTAGAATCTGTGTGAAATTTTACGTCGAATGGTTTATTGATTATCTCATTTGACCACATCCTACTGTGGTCTTTCCCTTATAATTTGAGCATTAACTAAAATCAATTGATCATTTTCAGGTATTTATGTGGTTGCTTGTGTTGGGATTACTTCGGGTGCTTGTATCGTCATCGTTCTCTATTCAGTTCCCAATCGATCAACAAAAAATCATTCAATGGTTGAAGAAAGGACGGGAATCAACAAAATCAGGCATAGGAATTTCAAAAGTAGAAAAAAAATTACATTTTAGATTTCGGCTTTCAATCGACTCTTTGAAAAACTTTCTCCGCCATCGCCATTTCCTTTTCCAAATCTTTTTCCAATCTCTAAATATCGCTGGTTTCATTGTGTTTTTGTCGTTTTGGGATTGAGAATTTGTAGTGCTTTATCAATGAAACAAATTTGAAAGTTTTTAATGGTTAAATAAAAAGTTTCGAAATCCCTTTTTTGCATCAAATCCAGAAGGAATTCTCAATCACGTCATGTTCACGGAAAACTCAAGAACGACCCAGTTTTTTGACCTGTTCCGGTTTCTTTTCTTATATTTCCCCATCCAATCTTTGGTCAGTGTTCCGGTGAGTCAATAAAGTGTTCCATTCACTCAAAAGAAAACTTCCTAAACCTAATTTATTAGCTAAATTACATTCTAAATTCTAATCATGACGATTCTGACGATTATTGTACCACAACGAATTCAAACCATTGTTCTACAACAGATTCCGGTTGCACAACTAGCTTTTGTTCTAAAATTGGAAATTCAAAATGATTTTTGATAAATCACGTTTTTCCAGAAAACCTACTACTGGGATTGTAGCTGCTCGAAGATTCATGTAGCTGAATACGATGGATGTTCGGTTGGTTGAAGTTAAGAAGTTAAGTTGAGTTGACTTAAAATTTGTTGTAGATTAAACTGTGTCTGTGTGACTGTAGCTGTATTTTCACTCATCAAAAGCTTTCCAGAGTGTCGGAAAACAAGACGATAGCAGCTGGTGCTGTTCGGGAGATCTTTGCAATTCCGGTATCTTGCCGGATGCTGAAGAAAAGCCTAAAACCCAGTGAAATCTTGTGGAAAAAGAAATTTTCCATTTACACAAATTGTTGGATTTTTCATAGCAAATCAATGTCACACTCGAATTTTCACTGAAATCTCATCTTAAGATAAGAAAAACTGACCCAATGGCTTAAATTCACAAAAATCTCTTGTGATTAGTTGAGCTCTCTCCTGCAAATTTTCTTATCTTTTCTCAGAAGTTTGAAAAAAAACGAAGACTTCTTTCTGAATCGATCTTTCGGGTCTTATTAGCCTTTCAGTCTTGCTCTTCTATCGGTTATGTTAAGAAGCTTTTGGACATGCTCGATATTCTGTTTTTGGAGTGTTGTGGGTGAGTTTACAATGCGATATGAGTTTTCGAATCAGCTCTATGTACCAGTTCCAGTTACGAATCTCATTATGAATCTCAAATCTAGCACTACCAGCCGATTTGAACTCAAACCTAAAAGCAATATTGAATTTTGTGTCTAATACTAGAACAATGAGGTGACTAGCAATTGATGTCATCCATGGATCTGCTGCTAGTCGGTCCTGAGTTGACGTATCTACCTGTGACAGATCTATTAGGTTGAGTACTTGATAACACTTTTTGTTTTTTTTTTCATCAAAGAGCATCAAAGAGCAAACCATAAATATAGATTTTTTTCAATATAATAATCAACCACGCATTGCCTAGCTTTGGGCAAATTTTCATCCCGATCTAATGACTGGGCTTTAAGCAGAAGGCTTTTATTTGTATTCAGCCGTTTTAGACTCTTTGAGCTTCTGTGAACCAGATTTTTCTGTTACCCCTAAACATTTCCAGTTGGTAATGTGAAGTAGATAATTTGAAGAAGATGAGTTGAATAAAATTTGAAAATTTGAATAAAACATATACCGTAAATGCTGTATTAGAATGGCATCGCCTGACCCCTCGAAATCTTGACTTTAGACCCTCTTGTGGGGGCTCTATGAATAGATCTAGGCCTAAAATCTACTAATATTTTATCGGTAATAACATTTAAAACGCTGTGCAACCAATCAATGCAGCGAAAATCTAAAACGAACATGGGGGAATCCGTGATGGAGCTGTGTGTTATTGTCAGAAAGGTTTCATTGGACCATTCGGTCAACGTTATTAAAATAAGTCTAGTAAAAGAAAACGATTCACTCTTTAGCTTCATATGATCCATGTACACCAAAAAGCTCGCGGACTATCATTTTCCTTTTCGATCCAACAGTACCTGCAAATGATCAAGAAATTCTTGCCGCTAATGATTCACTTGATCCACTTCGGGTGAGACGACGTTTCTAGCTTCTATAAGTACCGTACATTCAAAATCTTAATACAATTTTTGTTTCAGAATGCAATCATTCAAACGGCAAATCTTTATGATGTTGCCGGAAAAAAAGCATATATGGGATTGGGAGAAATGAGAACAGAAAAATATTTATCATTTGTTGATCCATCACAAATATCATCAATTCTTGATTCATGGAAGGAAACAACCAGTCCATGGAAAATCGGGTTTGATTTATAGTTATTTTTAAAAAATCACTGTTTTCAAGATAATTCAACTTTATTCAATCTAAACAAATCCAGTTTCATTTTTTTCAATCTAGAATCGACGATATGGTTGAAGGTATAATAAAGGATATGGATGAGGATGTTGATTTGCGGCGACTTTTTATACTAACAAAACAGAAAAAATAAGTGGATTTTTTGGTTTCATTCGTTTCTCCAAAAATTTCTCAGCATTGATCCAAAATTGTTCAATAATGATCAGCAATTTCAAGAGCTCAAAAATTTCGGCTATAGTATTATGGTTGTCGGCTTTGAGACTGATGTTTCACAGGTGAAATTTTGATCGGATCAATGGACCCAAGAACTAATTTTATGTACGTTAAACTTTTAACAATTGGTTGTTAGAATTAATTTTACTTCTAATTTGGGTTGTTAGAATTTGAGGTTCTTTTGCGTTATCTGGGGGCGGGGAAATGTCTTATGTCTTATATTTCGCTTATAGCTAGGGGACAGTGCTGCAAGCTCTCTAGGATCTGGAGTTTATAACTAGTTGCCCATCCTAAAGAGCTTGCATCACTGACCCCCTCCGGGAGCTGCCTAAATGCGGAGAGCTTGCAGCACCGGCCCCCAACTATAGGCACCTATAATATAATATAGAAAAAAGCTATAGGCGCCTATAAAAAAATGTCATATGTCTTTTAAAATCAAGCGGAAAATGAACGGAAAAGATTTCCCCAGCTAATTTTTTCTGAGATCCCCCAGATAACACAAAAGTACCGAATTTGCAAGACGAATTGCTAGCATAAGTTAGGATAAAATGGGACAGAAGTCTACGGTATACTGGAGATTGAATACTATTCCAAGCAATTGACGAATATATTTTAAAACATTTACAAATAAAAGAGCATTCCTTATTTTTTCATTCAGTTGAGCCTATGGGGAAACACGACAACAGTGAAAACAGCAGAGGAATTTGTTAAATTGGCAATCAAATTCAATGAAGGGTGAGCGTTCGATTGAAAGGATAAATAAAAAAAAAAACTTTAGATATGATTGTCCCGGAACAACGACAATAGGTAAGTATTTGTGAAGAACCAGAAAAGCTCTCACTTACCAGAAAATTGAAGTTCATATTTCAGCTCAAACAATAAGCACCACTGTTGAGAGACGTGAGACAACGACTGATTTCATTTCAACCACTCCCAAATATCAATTCTGTACACAGAATTCTCGACTTGATATAA